TTTCCAAATGATTCATCCCTTCCACGATTCGTAAGATCGGTGCCTGCCTTACTGACAATGGGGGGGGGGTGTGGGAGGGTGGGCGAGGGGTGTCATGGGTGTCCACAGCTTAATTTAGAGGAGCAGAACCAACTTTTTCCCCCAAGGTGACGCTCATTTGGGCAAGCGATTAGAATAAAAACTCGACAGAGATAGCTAGTAAATGGCGTTGTGTGTCAAGTTTGCTGTTACTAAGCCCACACAATCAATAATATCCACCTGTGGCAAATGAAACATAAGCTCAAGTTGGCGAGAAAGTTACATAGAGAGGTAGCTTTTTTCATGCTCCTCGAATGGTTTAGGTATACATATCTGGATTCAACAACCAAATGTATAAAGGGTGTCGTACACGAAATTAGTAATGTACTACAAGGCTAGGTATTGCAAAGTAGATAGTGTCGAAAGTATCTTTTGTCCCAGAATGGTGAGAGGTTTAAAGACACTGCCTGCGATCAAGTGATCAGCGAAATGCCTCCGTGCTTTGGCATCGTTGTCCGCACTCGCAGAGAATATACCACTTTCGTCACTCGAAATGGCGAGATAACGAAGCTAGAGACGCGTGAGTTTTGCAACCGGTGCAACCGCGTACTGTAACTCTGCAAGACAACGGCTTACAAGCGGAATTGCGTGTGTACATAGCGTTGCCTGGAGCGTCGTAGGGCGATTTCCTATGCTCTTGCCGGCAACTGGTTGCACGACAAATCCTTCCGATTGGGTTTGCCGACGTCCGACAAACTCGTCCAAGGCGCCGGCCCCACTGCTAAGGGGGTCTTTTTCAGAGTGTTCCCAATGTTTTTGCGTTTCTTTCTTACTGAGGAGTTACTTATGCGCTGCTGGTTCATGATTACGCACTTATTACCCATAACACTTGATCGCGGGAATTGGGATTGCAGTACTAGGTTTCCTGGCTAAAGACAAAGAGTGCAGTCGCCATGGCTCCTGGTTCTTGCCGTGTATGGATGAATCGGTCGCAGTTGCAGTAGCGTGCCACTTTCTCCTGTCAGAAGTGCACGGGAACGGGGCTGGGGTACAGATGTTTGGACGCCATCTCCATACTCCGCCCGCGTGTCGCACAGCCAGCTGCACGCCTAACCATAGCAAACGCGCTATTTGTCTGCGCCCTCTCATTCCTCGTTGTTCTCTACCGCTGAGTGCATGTTTCGTTACGGGACCTTGGCATCGACGCAGTGCTGCACGCTAAGGATAGCGCGGATGGAGAATGCACTGGACTACCACTACCTTACAGCCTCGTTTCCATGTTTTGAGCGAAGAACCAGTGGCTGTTGCAGCTGCGAACCCATTCGCCTCGCACATCGCAAGGATCGTCCTCGGAGATGAGTGTATAGTCTGTCTTTAACAGCTCTTTTTGTCGTCATTCTCAGCTGGCCCGATTTCTTTTTCATCAGTTCGGACGAAAACATTGGAAAACAACATGTGCCATTTAGTGCCGTGTTTTCAACCCCATTCTGTACAGCTAGATGGCCTGCAAAAGATTACAACGAGCGTTACCAGAAATACTGCAACGGCTCTTCATAACTGATGTTTTTGCAACGCTGTGTAATCACAAATTCTGCTAGAGATAGAGCCACCGGAACTTCTTTATTTCCCAACAACTCTTACGAAAAGCAAAGGGTACCCTTTACCCCAGGAACGCTACCCTAGTTAATGAGGAATGAACCCGACGGCATTAATTTGTCATTTTGTGGCGCGTCACATCTGCAGCTCTTATAGAACAGAGAAAACCTATTAATATCTATCGGGTGCCTGCAGTAATGTATGGGTTGATAAGGGCTATCTGAAGGAGGACAGGTTAGGTTGTATAGCCTAGACATGGGTTATACGGTATTAAGTATAAAGTTTATGAAGTTTAAAATTCTAAAGGAGCTCGAAAAAGAGTTTAACGACATATACACTACATAGTTCTGGAACAAGTAAAAAAACCTCTCTAGAACTGTTTGAAGCAGTTAGTTCGTATTTACAGTTGACTTTGTAGGAAGGACGAAAATGATTTAGCAGAATGAACAAAAACAAGTCCGTAGAACTGGATATTTAGATTTAGAATGCTGATAAAATGGTAACTTTAGCCGGGAACTTTTCTTTTTGCCTATTAGCGGAACAATTTTCTTTTTCCCTCAACAGTTCTGAATCGTCCGATTCTGGAAGTTATCTAACCGAGCCGAGCATGTCAGGAGACGGACAAACACAGGGGCGCCGGCCTCAGCGGTAGTGGAGTCCGCGGAGATGACAGGCTCCTTCAACATTTTCGGTCAGCAATTTTCGAAAACTTAAAATCGGCACAATGTCGAAGCTCGATTTAATGAGCTCAGCAGTGGGCAACGATCCGTATGAATTATGTGCCAATTGCTCTGGGGTTTGCCTCAATTCCAGAATTCCAGAACGGCTGATGCCGTTTGGACGCGCTCACTTTTGACTGCCGGCTCATTTATTAAGTGCCTAGAACACCAATTCCCCTGAAAACTTGCATACAGGACTTATTTAGCATCCTGATTTTGATATGAGATTCATTCTTGGCGCTGGCGCTAATGGAGGACACTACGATTATCTTCTGGGCTCAGCCTTAGCAGAGTGCAGATAATCATACTGTTCTCCATTAGCGCCAGCGCCAAGAATGAATGTTGTATTCGTGATCAGGATGTTAAATTAGCCCGATACGCAAGTTTTCAGCGGATTTGGTAATCTAGGCGCTTCATAAATGAGCCGGCGCTAAACGTGAGCGCGTCCAAACTACACTGTACAAACCACATTGTAGTAACCACAATGTAGCCTCACAACTTGTATCACAAGCGCCCTTGCGAAAGACATTTGTTACCGATGAGATAGGTGGGGCACTGGCGAAATGATGATAACACAGTGATGCTGTTCCACGCATCGACCGAAAAAGCTCTCGTTCCGTTTCGGCTCCTTCACTTACACCTATGTTGTGTTGGTCTTGTATTGCTGTTTGGTTGACTGTTGGCAGCGTCATTGCCTACTTTTTCCTATCGAAAAAGAACAAGAAACAGGTCATTAGTCATTTTTCGACAGCTCCTTTGTTTGTTCAGGGTCAAGAAGACAGCTTGTCGTTCTGTAGAATATGGTCTTACTGCCACATAACTGTATTGAAATACCTCCGTACTCTCACTAGAGTGGATATTATATGTTATTACATAAAGGCAACAAGGATATAAAACGATTATCTGATAGGTAGCATCCCTTCTAGGATGAAGATGGGTAGGCGAAGATTCTCATTTTGTCTACCGAATGTATGTGGCAAGGGAAAAGGCCTGCTATTCACCTCTGTCCACACCTCTTGCTGTGACAGACGTTCATATGCGCAACTGCTGCTGCTCGTCTAGGTCCCTAGGCCAAGACAAGTTCGATGGGTTCGAATAAAGCCGTCATTTGAGCTACTAATACGATGGTAGAAGAGGAGTATAATGCTAGCGTTTCATAGAACCTGAATGTTGAACATTTCCTGAAAACCGATTTCCGCTCCCTCCCCCCCCTCTCGAGGACACTTTTTTGGGAAAAAGTTTTTTTGGCTAGAATGTTAGGAGGCTGTAAGAAGATATGACGATGGTAAAAAGGATGTAGGAATTGTATTGAAAGGGGGGGGGGGTGCGTCACATCCTTAAAAAGTGATCCCTAACCGCATGACGTTGCTCTGAAAAGAGGTTCAGATAGTCAAATGTAATCACCAGTAAACATGTTCGACACTCTCTTGATGAGAGGACGAAAGCTATGAAGCAGGCTTGAATGTACATCATGATCCGCTGCAAATGAGTAGGGCGTGTTGAGTCGCGGTATGGTGAGAGCAGCCAGGGCGGGACCTTTCCACCAATTGGATGCCCATTGTCAGCCCCAGCGCCGTCTGTCATTGGTAGTCTAAATCTGCTCTGGCTGCGTTCCAAGCGGCGCCCTCTCACACACTCTATCGTTTGCAGATACCATGACTGTAGACAATTTAAAAACACATCTGACGTCCTATCAAGGAGGAGGCTGTGATCGAGATGCTGTGTCCCTTTAATAGCTGAATTCCGTCAAGCAGAGGTCTTAGCAGAACATACATGGCTTCCGCGTAGGAAAACGTATGAAAAGTTCTGCAACATGTACACAGTAAGATCGATCCAGATATAATCATTTGTTTAAGTGCTCGGTTAAAGGCAAATCCCCCCCCCTTCCCCTCGATGAATTCGCATACAGATAGTGGATTCGTAGTTTGCGCGATAGATGACAAGAGTTGCGCTACTCACCTCGATAGTGCCAAAAACAAAGCCGGAGAACGTGCTAAACTGCCTTAGATTAGAACATTTGACCAAGTTTGTACCCCAGTGCCCAATGACTCTATCTCTGCACTAGCGCCCCCATCTGCACAAGCTGATAGAACTCGTACGGACACGGATTTCGATTGGCATTTTTCGCCCGGCAGCCTCGGGTATTTTGACCCAAGGAATTGCAGGGTTTTTGAAGGCCGTTACAGTCTGGAGCGCGCGCCTTGGAAGGTACCCTGGAAAAAGGATCGAGCACTCCACTGAGCCTTATATCTTATCTCGGCAAATATGGGCAGCCCTCCGTACCATTTCTTTGCTGGCAAACGGTCAGAATAGTTCCTTGCGGGAACCACACTACCCCCGATGGCCATGTTTTCAACTTCTATATCTGATTGCCTGAACGTGCCTTGATACAATATTCCTATAGTAAACAATAAATGCTACTATCTACACAAACAAACAAAGCAAGAGGTGCTCAAGTGGCAGCTTTTTCTGCATTCAGAAACGACCAGAAAATATTTATAAAGATTGGTAAACAAGCAATTAATGGAAAGCACATTAATTGATAAAATTATTCGATATCAGAAATCTTAGATGTATTTTTCAGGGTGTTTCTATTCGCAAATAATATACTGCGTAAAGCTAGATACGGTTACTATACCAGTTCCACGGAAGCTACTATATTTCCTAATGTATCGCCATTTTTTGAAGGTCGAAACGTTTCTCAAGGCCAACAAAATCCCATATGAGGCAAGCGAGAGGCTAAACTGCGAGTTCATTAAATTAACCGTTTTTTTACAGGTATGTCCACTTCTGATGGGACGATCACAGTACGGCATGCTGCCGTTCATCGAACTAAACGGTGAGCAAATCGCCGATTCCCAGATCATCTTGAATCATCTCAAGGATCACTTCAAAATAAAGGTAAAATCCGGACGCTTACTACGATATTTTCGTGCTACTAGTGAGGGAGAGCGGTGTAATAGCATGAAATAATATGTTAATGAAACACATTTAGCCATTGCCAACACCAAAAGATGAGGCCATTGCTAGGACCATCGATAGGCTGGCCGACAACCATACGTTTTTGTGAGTGATTCATAAATTTTGATCCAGCTTTTCTTCTACTGATCTTCTGATGAATACGGCGTGATGAGGCACATTTCTGCCAGTTACGAACCAAAGATAGGTAATTCTGTAAAATAATAATTAGGTAAGTAAGTAAAGTATTAATATAAGGGTAAGTATTAATAGGTAGGTAATTCTAGACAGGAAAGCCGGACCATTCCATTTCCCTTCCAGGCAATAACCGCCAATGAACACGAATTCGCACTATATCCCAAAGACAGGAAGGGCGTGGCTGCGTACTTCATTTGAATTTGGCTTATGGTGCGTGTTTCGTGCACAGCTTCCATTGACGAAAACTATCATTCTGTCGGGTATTGAACATAGACATGAGAACATCCATCTGTTCCGAAAACAGGAGTATTCTACCAGGAGCGTCGCAGCCGACCCTTTTAAATTAAGTACGCAGCCACGCCCCCTCTATCTCCGGAATGTTGAGTTTGGGAGGCGAGCAAATGTTAATCTGGGGAATGGGTTCTAGGCCTAAGCTAGAGTGTATGTCTAAAGCTGTAACTGAGAAAATTTGGTTACTATTTTACAAACTGATGAATAGAACAAAAGTTAGCAAAAATGGTAGATGAGCCGCGTATTCAGTTTTCGTCCAAAGTTGAGAAACGCTTTGAATTATATAAGACCTCCTAGTGGTCTCTTAGGGACACCTTGATGTTAGTGTCTTAGGGTACACGGTCGACATTTATAATGGTATACCCTTCGAGCACCAGTATTCAGCTGATCACTTAAAGGCACAGTTCGCGACCGCAAATTGCGGGAAACGGAACTCAAATAGGCACAAAAAAGTGCTAAGTATCTGATTAGCGGAGAAAAGCAGCAGTAAAAGCAGTCCGAAATGTTATAGAGAAAGATAACATAGTGGCTACTAGCTAGTAGCTAGCAGCCGGTGAGGGTCGGCATGGGCCTAAGGGGTGTCCATGGGCCTAATTAGCCAGCTTCTAGCGGAGTTCTTGCCGTTTTTCACATTTTGAAAGTAGCGCAGCCTCAAAAATCGCCTTCCGGATCGTCCGACACATTTGAGAGGTCATAGCCTTATTTTATCGCGGAATGTGCCTTTAAGCGTGTAGTGTGTGCGGCGGAGACTTACTAGCACTGTTCCTAGCCCAGGGTGTTCCCCTCCCCCTTGAATGAGGAAGAGCAAAGGACAGGAAGGCGCGGTAGATGAGTCCCATTAAATCGGCGCAAATGTGAAGAGCAGACCCAAGAATAGCAGGCAGATTTAGGCAGCGTTCAGACTTCGCGACGGCAGCGCTTCGGTCGATCGATGCGCATGCTTTCGACTGCATCGATCGCGTCGAACGCGCGACCGAAGCGCTGCCGTCGCGAAGTCTGAACGCTGCCTTAGTGGTGCCTGTAGCCAATACCTTTTTGATTTTCTCATTGATTGGATATTTAGGGTGCAGTACTATTTCAAAGCGCTCGAACAGACGAACGACTTCTTCTCAATGGTTTTACGCGAAGCTGGAACACCTGAACTGCTTCTACCCATTCTTGCGTTTTTCTTCAGAAGAAAGGTGAGACAAAAAAGCAACCTTATAATCGATTGGAAGACACGGCGTTTTTTTGAAATGGCCTGTGAAAATTTGGTTATAGGAGCCGTGATAATAACTAAAAGGGCACGTTCCGGAGAAAATATTTCAGAAATACGACCCCGCAAGGGTCAAGTTCTATCGTCCCCTTCACCCAAACCCCTACCTACTTAACATCTTCCTAAATTTCTTATCTACCATGTTTAGGAGCTTTTTCGGAGCTCGGAGCTTTTTCCACGAACTCCCATCACGTTTCCCCAAAAAATTGCCGTCGAGAGTGGAGGGGGTGGAGGGGTTGAAGGCACAGTGACTAAGGCAGACACGACTATCCTCCCTCCAGCGACCAAAAACGACCCCCTTTTCTGGGGATCCCCAGCGTAAGACATGCCCTGATACCCATCTCAGCCTCTGAAATGCTTCACTTATGGTTTTGTACCTTTCGTTTATCTTCACGTATTGAGAGTTAGCGAACTTTTCCTCGTCAAAAGAGTAGAAGTGCAAAAGAAATTAATTGGAAAATTCCAAAATAATGAATGAAAATAAAGAGGGTGACAATTTAGGCAACAAAGCGCATTGGATCAGGTCTTGGACAGTTCTCCACTGAGGATTTCAAGGAGTTCTTGAAAAAAG